AAGGGGGGGGACTCCTGCTCGTCATGAAGTTGATGAGAGGCAGTTATCTCGAAGTCGGCATCGAGTTTAAGGTTTTACGGGTGGAGGTTTCCTACAACCGCCAGGTGGTGTGTGTGGAGCTCGAGAGCGTGGACGAGTGGACCATATTCATCAACAGTTTAGGGAGCAGCTTTTGCCGCACCTCTCAAAAAGGAGCATGTCGACCTAATTGTGTATATTACACCGATGATTATATAGGCAGGACGGTGAAAGTGTACGACTTGGGGAAGAGGTGCACGACCGTGTTGATGCCTTTTCGTTATGCGGGACGCTATGTGTCGTTATGTTATTGGGTCGACATCCCCGACATTCCTGAACCTGAACTTGAACCACAAGAAGTTGAACACAATCCTGAACCTGAACTTGAACTAGAACCACAAGAAGTTGAACCAGAACCTTGAGTTTATGAAATTATTAAATTTTTCCTTGAGTCTGATATTATTACATTCACACTGTTTTTTTAATAGAGTTTATGCATTTGTTAGCATTAGTACGAACTCAGATGTGTACTTATAAAGGAGCTTATGCATATTGTATGTTGGTACTAGGTATGCATTAATAGCAAGGTAGTCGAAAAATATGCATTTAAATATTTGTCACGGCGTAGTCTAAACAGAGGATGAAGTACTCGAGTTTGTGACTGTCCACGTGGTCAGCGGTGGGGTCGAGTTGATACCATTGTTGGACGAGTTGGGTCAAACCCTAGAGGTCCCGTTGTCGAGGAGAAAGAGCTTGACATGGCACGAGAGCCACCTCATCGAGGCCCCAGGTGGCAGGGGGCTACTGCTTGTCATGAAGTTGTTCAGGGGCTCTCTCTTCGAGGGCGGCGTGGATTTTAAGGTGTTTTGGGTGGAAGTTGCCGCCGACCGACAGATGGAGTGTGTAGAGCTCGAGAGCGTGGATGAGTTGACCTTCTTCGTCAACTATTTGGGCAGCAGTTTTTGCCACATCTCTAAAAAAGGAGTATGTAGACCGAATTCTATATACTACACTGATGAGATAGGCAGAGCGGTGAAAGTCTACGACTTGGGGGAGAGGAGCACGACTGTGTTGATGCCCTTTCGTTATGCAGGACGCTGTGTGTCGATAAGCTATTGGGTGGATATCCCCAACATTCCTGAACCTGAAGCTGAACCACCAGAAGTTGAACAAGAACCTTGATTATTAGTATTACTCAATAGAGTTTATGAAAGAGCGCATACATTGTACGTATAATGCATATATGGTAATTGGAAAATAACTTTTGGATAGTTTTTCTTTTACCAATCCTCATGTTTTTATTTTTTTATTTTATTTTTAATTTTTCTCATTCCTCCTTTTCAAACTACGGGCTTTGATGTCATAAATTAAAATCTATATCTATCTATATACTAATATAAAAAGGTTGTTGGAAAAATACATAAATAAATAGTAACTTTGACTTTTTAATTAAATGCTTGACTTACTATTATAAGAAATATTTTTAAACACATGAGATTATAAAAAATGGAGCAAATCAATTTTCATATACTGTTTTTTATGAAAAAAAAGGGGCATATTTTAAAAATTAATGTTACCTTATCCTTTTTTTTTTTAAATTAACCACTTTTCCGATTATTTGGTGAATAAATTTCAAATTAATTTTTTTAGAGAAATTATAGGTGCATCTTTTCCAACGGTTTGTTGCACGAACTCATTTCCCACACAATTTTGGCAAAATCCGATTCTCACTATACTTTCAAAATAATATAATGATCTATTCATATAAAACTCGATTTTCAAATTGAGATTAGATCTTTGGTGAGTAATTCCGATAAGATTTATTTGGTAAAAACGTGTGAATATACCATGATAATTTGTATTTTTGGTAAAATCCTACTCGTGTTTTCGTCCAAAAAAAATATTTAACAGAATTTGCAATTTAGGAACAAATATTTTATTTTGAAACATCCATAACATATTCTTCATGACATTCAATTTAGGCAAATATAATTTGAGTAAGAATAATTTCAATTCAAATAACGTATCAATACAGTCTAAACTAAAAATGTACATTAATATAAAAAATAATCTGATATGGAAATGCACCGATACAACCAAAATATAAAAATTTTGATTTTTATCTTACATGGCCCTATATCATTCAAATATTTACCATAAGTTAATGCGGATATGAAAAAATATTATCAAATACACTTATCTATTATTTAATGAGAAATTTTAATTTATAAATATTAATAAATATTTTTTACCCGTGCATCGCACGGGATTCGTATTAGTGAATTATAAGATAATAATGTAAAAGTTAAACTAAAATGATTGTAACTCATGGATGAATGCAAGTGAATTTTCTTATTGAATCAATAAAACATGCTCTTATTGGAATCAATCAGATATCTACATTTGATCTATTAACTTCATAACAGGCATCATACGGATAATATAAAAGGTGAAAAAAATATTTTTTTTAAAGGAAAACATTTATTTAAACAAATGTTTTAAGATGAATAAATCACAGTTGATTCCAACTTTGAACTGCTCGCAAACTAGGTTGGACGAGGACATATTTTAAATTTTAGTTGAACAACTCCTAAGTTTGGCTAAATGCTCGCGTATCCCAATTTTAAACAACTCGCAAGGTGGGTTGGGCAATAACCTAATTTAAAATTCTAGTTGAACAACTTTTAAGTTGAAAAAATATTTGTCGATTCCAATTTTGAACAGCTCGCATGCTGGTTTGGGCGATGACCTAATTTAAAACTTTAGTTAAACAACTCTTAAGCTGGTTAATGTATACATGGCCAAAACACAGGGCCCGGCAGGCCGCCAGGCTCGGAATCGTGGACCCAAAACCGCCATGGACTTAGGTCGTGCCAAGTTCATGGCCAGGCGGGCCGAGTCTGGGCCGTCCAAATAATAAAAAATAATTAAAAAAACAAACTGAAGCATGTGGTTTTCCCTGGCCGGTTCGGACCTGGCTCAGCTCGCCGGGCCAGGGTAAAAAATACACGGCCCTGGAGTTTTGAATCCCCTCGCGGGCCGGGCGCCCGAACTTTGAATCCTCTCCAATTAATTAGGATCTGTTATTATATTAAGGTAAGGTAGACATATCAATTTTACCTTTCCTAAATATCGTATGATTGAGACCCTAACTAAAAGCACAAGTCACCGCATTTAATATTCCTACTCAGGCAAGCCAAAGGAATTGATTAATTTTCACCGTTGCGTATGATTTTGCATTATTTTCGTGCGATAGTTTAATTTGTACTAAATCGTGGTTAGTTTAATTAGTTGGTTTCCCTCCTCTTTTTGCAGCAAAATGGAGTTGGAGATGAAGGAGAATAATGAGAAGCTTCCCCTGCTCATGACAGTGCACGGCAACCATCCCTCTAGACAGTCCTTCTACAGTCTGGTCGACCGGCAGTGCAAGAAAACTCAACTTCCCATCCTAATCCCAAAGCGCATAATAGGCTCCGGTCACGGCTGGCTCGTCCTTGTGAACATCCTCACAGGAAAATCCTGCCTGTGGAACCCAGAATCAATGCGCCAGGTCAGCCTCCCCTTCCTTCGCGACGCGCACATGTACAGCCGATGTGTCCTGACTGGGCCCCCGACCGAGCCCGACTGCCACCTCATCTTCTGTTCCCTCAACGAAGAGGAGTGGACCGTGTTCCGAGTCAGGGACTGCACCACCGTCAGTTCGCCACCTGGAGAAGTGCAGATCGCTGCCATGGCCTCCTACCGAGGGGAGATGTACGGTTTAGTCGACACAGACGACCGTGGATTCGAGTTTGTGACCGTCCACGTGGTCGAGGGAGGGTTAGAGTTTAGACCGTTGTTGGACGAGTTGGGTCGAACCGTAAAGGT